TTTGTGGGCGTGTCTCCGCTCATGTCTTGTATGCCAGGAACACCTTAGACATTGCTTTCCTACAACCTTTTTTTCTGCTCTGTAAGATTTCTTAATCATGTTATGAGTTTTTCTACAAGTACTGCATTGTTAAAGAGCGCCATGCCTGCAGTAGTGGGGGTGTCCTTAATTCGAGCTCGCTTATCAATGCACACTTTTACCCATTTCCTGGCCTCTAGGCTGTTTTGAAGTCAAGGTTGAAATTTTCTTCGTTTGTGCCGCACATTCCGATGCATGCTACGCCTACTGAGATCGGGGCTACGTTTAGGAGACATTTGTTTTGAGCTTCTTGAGATTGACCCATCCATCCCACTTTTGACCCGCTCTCTCCAGATGGATCTCCACGAAGTGATGAACTCCGTGACAGCCATTTGGACCGATAGATTGTAATAAGTAGGATCACTATCCACTTAAGAAGTCGTGCGAAAGAGAATCACATCGATTCGAAGTTTTCGAGAGTGAATTAGGTCAGGAATGTGTGTCGTATTACTACATATTTCCCATCGTTGATCCACATTCATGTATGACTAATGTCTGATGAGCAGTGGGAGGTTTTATCAGTGACTGATAATAATCACTCATTGGCACCACCCTCTCGATTCGAATAACGACAGAGTTAGAGTAGTGGTAAGCAACGTCAAAAAAAAGCAGCGTCAAAAGAGCGTGGCAGGTTCATGCACTGGACGCGTGTGCTTGCGGTGCTCAATGTGCGTGTGTCATCAGAGCTAATTCTAAAGGAAGGCTTTCATCCTTCGGTGTATTTCGCACATGAAATTGGTCTTTTCTAAAATTTTGACATTTGCAGCAGCACAATGGTCCAGCAAACTTCTTCAACAGAATTAGAAACCGCTCAAAAGCTCCTGAGGAATCTCGGTCTCCTCACAAGTAGCGATAAATTGCATGTCAGTTTACAGTGTCGAATCAAAACATAAATTTGTTAGTGTTATACTGTTACTGCATAGTGATTTTTTATGTTCTGACAATTTTAGCCTGTCTTTCGGCAGTCATACTTACGGTCCATTATGCTAGGCTCCCAAAAATGTGCGAAAATCAACTCAGTAGAAGTGGATGTCAAGCGACGGCAAAATGAAAAGGAGCTCGGAAAGAAAGCTGCTGAAAGATGGGAGTGCATACTGAGGTGTGTTTTAGGTATCCGATAGAGCTCAACAAGGTGAAAGTAGATGGAATTCTGATTCTTTGAATTGTCAGAACCTTGACCTCTTCTCCCGAAACCCGAAGTTTTTAGAAGCTTCTGATTGCATTGATTGATTTTGCATCTGATTGATTCATCAAGCTTTTTCTCCATTTAGACCATTTTTCCTTTATCGGACGATCCTCATTCAGGTATCTGGCGCTGCCCTCAGACAAAAACATGAGTTCAG